GAATTTATTTGTGCTTGTGATTTTGCAAATGACAGAATATCCCAGTGGAAATTTTTAAAGCAAATGACCTTGGTGAGAATTGCAACCTCACTGTTAGAGATCCTTCGGGAAAACCATCCTTTGGGAAAACCATGGCCAGTGAAACTTTTAGTCAAGAATCTATCAGGAAAATGCATACAAGTATATATGACAAAGGGTTATCTGCATCTTTAAGTTCAATCGCACCATCACCAGAGGAAGGCTTGTCGTGATGGATGTGCGAATATTTTCTCTACAAACATAAGCAATCCTTGGTCTCATTTAGTGCTAATCTATTGTTTGATTTGAGAAAATTTCATTTTTATCCTTCTACTTTGCCTTGATTTTCAATGACACCCCTAGACTTTGAATAATTTCAATTTTGTCTCTAAAATTTTTGAAATCGTACCAATTTAGGCCCTACCATTACATTTGAAACGGAAAACGTTAAAAAAATTATATTTTGGCTCCAAATTTCAAAAGAAAGATGCAAACGCACCCCTTCTACCCAAACTCACTCTCTCTCATCTTTCTCTAATTCTTCCATCTCTCATTCGCCCTTGCAAGCGCTACTACCACCACCACCATAATCACTTAATTCTCCAACCTAGCTTCTCTCAAACCCAAATTCATTCACCCACTCACTCACTCCAAATTCTCAAACCCAACTTCTTTCCGTAGTGAGCCTCTCTTTTGATTTTATGAAATGAAGCTCCAAAAACACTTGTCAAGCAATACTATCATAGAAGCAATTAATCAAACAAGACTTAGGCACGAACTAAATGTAATTAAACCCAAATTCAAGAAACACTAAACAAAGAAGCAATTGATCAAACAACACTTAGGCAAGAACAAAAAGTAATCAAAACAATTATAAAACTCAAACCCACTTCTAGGATTAACCCAATTCCCATCTTCCCGTTCAAGATGAGGTTAGACCATATCTACATCAATTATAGTATATATATACATTTAGAGAGAGAACACAATAAAATTTCTAGAGAGAGAAAATTTAGAAACGAGAGAGAAAGAGAGAGAGAGAGAGAGAATGACGCTGGAAGTGTTACAAAGGTAGTGAATGGAGTCGGAAATCAAGACTCTACGCCGGTTGTCGATCACTAGAGCTCGGTGATCGTACATGACATCGGCGCGAAACATCGTCGAAACAAAAACAACAAGCACCAAGAACGAAACAATCAAAATCTCTGTTCCTCTTATGGTCGTCATGATAGCAATGAGAAATGTGCTACTGTGATTTTTTTAAAAAAGTGTTTTCGTAAAACACTTTCTTAAAATGAGTACTTTGCTTTGCTTTGGATGATCCATTTCCTGTTTCTTAACCGCTTTCCTGTGCCTCTCTTATGGTGGTGGTGGCAATGAGAAATGAAGGAATTTTGTGAGACTATTTTTGAAAAGTGTTTTTGAAAAACAGTTTCTTGAAAACATCACTTTATATTGCTTTGGTTTTCTTTGGTTGATCCATTTGTTATTGCTTAGCTGGTTGGTTTGTAAAAGATGAAGAAGAGAAGACAAAAAAGAATCAAAAATTTCATTTGAGAAATTTTGGAGTGAGTGGGTGAATTTAGGTTTGAGAGAAGTTGGGTTAGAGAATTGAGTGATTATAGTGGCAATTAGTGGTAGTGGTGGCAGCACTTGCAAGGGCTAAAGAGAGAGGGAAGAATTGGAAAAAGATGAAAGAGGGTGAGTTTGGGTAAGAGATAGCAAGTTTGCATCTTTTTTTTGAAATTTGATGTCAAAATGTAATCTTTTTAAACGTTATCCGTTTCAAATGTGATGGTAGGGGCCAAATTGATACAATTTCAAAAAATTTTGGGGTAAAATTGAAATTATTCGAAGTTTGGAGATGCCATTGAAAATCGAGACAAAGTATCTGAATAAAGATAAAATTTTCTCGTTTGATTTTGATTCCTTTGCTTTGTTGTGGTTTTTGCTTATTACTAACTACTGCTCACGCTAGTTTTGATTAGAGCAAAGAATGACTGTGAAAAATTGTTTAGAGTAAGCAGTTTCAGAATTCTTGATCTTTTGTAAGATACAAATGTTAGTCATCTATGTTAATCAAAGTGAATCAGATTGTAGAACATGTATGTTTTGCCTTGTTGTTAATGATTATAAAATTAAATGGAATTTGCGACACTATTAAATGAAATGGAATTTTTTTGATTAAAAAAAAAAATTGAAACGAAATTTGCCCATTTATGAAACAGAGATGATAAAAATCCATTTTCTAAGAGATGAACCACTGAACAACGCCACATATGCAATAATAAGGCGCTTGTCAAAATATGTTATCATCAACGTGTTGGAACAATCTTCTGTGTATATAAAATAACTTGAAATAAATTCAAACAAAATAAATAAATATCATACCGGATTTATTTATCGAACCGAATTAAAATTAAGACCAAGTCGAGTGTGTGACACTCTATCCTTAAGACAGATTCGCCCTGCTATGGTGCTTACGGTTGAGTGGCGTCTATCTCCCAAGATACAATGATCTTCATAAATTGTAATAGCACTTCAAACAATTTGTTCGGCGAACCAAACCTGTGTTCTAACTCTTTGAATATTTATTCTAAAACTAATATATGAAGAATAAATGCACTAGAACAAAATGGACAGCAAATGCAAAAAACAGACTAAATTTTCGGATCAATTTGGACTGCTGGGAATGGATTTGTATTTATAGGCAACTTAGAGATTGTTAAGACAACCCGAACAGGTTCCAAACCACTTATTCAAAGAATTTTGATTTGTCCGTTACTTGAACATATATATTCAAACTTTTTGAAAAAAAAAGGTACCGTTGGTGAACAATTAAAAACCTGTTTGGACTTTATTAATTAAACCATTGAAATATATATATATATATTATTAAACTATTTGAATATATATATATATTAAACTTATTTGAATAGTTTAATAAATAAAAGAACATGCACAAATTTTAGGAAACTACTTAGAAACCAAAAATTTGAATTTAGAATTAAATTAAATTCTCATAATTACAAATTTTAGGAAACCACTCAGGAACCCATAATTTGAATTTAGAATTAAATTAAATTCCCACAATAATTTTTTTATTGAAAAAATTCAAAAGAATTTTATCTAAAAAATTAATGTTAGACCCGAAAACGACGTCAACTTCCCATTCACTCATAAATGGTTTTGACGTTCCGTCTTCACCGTGTGACTTGCCACGCGGCAAGGAACACTTCACCTCTTCGGACCCACCCCAAAAGACGTTTGGGGCCCACTCAATTTTGGGCTCAACAATATGCCTATATTAAACCATTTTTCCAACAATCCCCCACATGAATGGAATTTAACGGAGAGAAAATGCAACAACATGATCTAATTACAGAGAGTACAGAAATTAGAAATATTCTGCAAAGGATAAGTAGCTTTTGGCTTTGAACCTTCCCTTGTAAGACACTATCGGATTTACTAGCTAACTAGTGAACATGATGTCTTGAACTGATCAGCCGTTTGTGCAAACCAAGACAATATAACTCACACAGTATATTCCTAAACACAGTTTAGTTCTCACTATTGCGTTCATTTTGGCCCTGAACAACCTGGTCTTTCATGAGTGCTCTAGAGAATTGTAGCCCTTCACAAATCTCATAGAACCGGCCCAGTTCACACTCACATAGGTGATTCTTATGAAGAGTATCCTGCCATACTCCACTAGGTTTACCTAGATATAAGAATCATTAAAATTTTACTTAACCTCAAACGCTGCAGACATCACTATTTCATTAAAGAAATGGATAGGAGTTAGACTCCCTAATGATCCTTCTAAGTCAATCACAACTCGGTTGTCTCTTTGAACCTAGATCTTGGGATCTCCAGTCAACTAGGTTGGGTTGCCGTTGTGGTAACTCTTATTTAATAGGCTTAAGTCCCATTCCCCTCGATGAATTCTCAACTAACTCTCTTGCTAACCCTTTGGTTAGTGGATTCGCTATGTTGTCTTTAGACTTCACATAATCAATGGAAATAATTCCATTAGAGAGCAGTTGTCTTATGGTGTTATGTCGACGATGAATGTGTCGTGACTTATCGTTATACATATGACTCTGTGCTCTACCTATAGCTGATTGACTATCGCAATGTATGCATATAGCAGGCACCGGTTTTGGTCAAATTGGAATATCTTCAAGGAAGTGGCGAAGCGATTCTGCCTCTTCCCCTGCTTTGTCTAAAGCTATGAATTCAGATTCTATAGTAGACCTACCAATACAAGTCTGTTTGGAAGATTTCCAAGGTACAGCTGACCCACCAAGAGTAAAGACATACCCACTAGTGGATTTTGAGTCTCTTGTATCCGATATCCAATTTGCATCACAGTATCCTTCAAGTCACTACAAGAAATTGCATTTTTCGCAAAGCAACAAAATATGTTGCTAAAAGGGAAAATTCGTTGGCAAAAAGTTTTGCCGACACACAAAGCTACGTTGGCAACCCGTAGGTAAAAGTGAGTCGGCAAAAGTTTTTGCCAACGAACTTATCATTGCGTTGGTAAAAGTAATGCCTTTAGCGACGAACATAATCGTCGTTAAAAGCCTTCATCCATCGTCGGCAATTTACCTTGCGTCGGTAAAAGTCATTCAAATATGATGATTGTGTGACACTTTTCGCGACACAAATTTGCATGGGCAAAAAATATATTTTTAGCAACAAAATATGCGTCGGCAAAAATAAAGTCTTGGCGACACATTTGCGTCGGTAAATGTTGTCATTTGCCTACGATTTGTTTGTCGATAAAGCTTCACTTTTGGCAACGACAAATTAGCATTGGCAACGTCGGTACATATTGCCATTTGCCGACGATTTGTTGTCGATAAAGGTTTACTTTTGGCAACGACAAATTGGCATTGGCTAAAAATACACTTCTAGCAACACAATATGAGTTGGCAAAAATAAACTTTTGGCGACACATTTACCAACAAAAACAATTGAAAATAATTTATATATTTTTATAAGATTTACAGATTTACAAGAGGCATCCCTCAGGCACCACTATTACAAACTAATAACATTGATATGAAATCACCTAAAGTTGATGTGCAAGCAAAAAAAACACTGCTGATACTGCTTTTAGAAGTAGTGTATAAAACCTAAAAGGGTAAACTCACTAAAATACCCAAATACATCCAAATTGTGAATCCACATTACAAACAACAGATAACAAAATGAAAACATGAAACTAACAAAGACAGGCAAAACGACACGAAAAGTATCCACAAACTTATCCAGCAGACCAACATCTAGCAGTAGCCGCCTCACAGCAACATTACAGCAGCAGCAGCAGCCCAGCAAACATCAACCACAAGGGCGGCAGCAGCAACAAACCAGACGAATCTGATTCATGCATCTTAGATGAGCTTGGTGCATCTGCAACCTCCAGGCCAGCTGCATTATTTGACATTCCTGGGGGCATTTCAGAAGAGATGACCAACATGTAAAGGCATTTTAATAGGAGCTACTCAAGCCAAGTTCTTTGCTAATCCTTGCATGATAATTAGAAGGAAAAAAAAAAGAGTGGACATCAAGGAATGGCAAGTTAATGCAGAATGTAAGCATGGAGAAGTTATTATAGATGTTTCATCTGATTAGGAAGCGAAAACAAAATTCTTATGGCTGAAAAGAGCTTTAATTTATTCACAGGATTAATGACTTCAGACAGAGTGTAGTTTGGAGGTCCTATAACCAAAAGATTTGATCAGCATGCCACCTCAATTAAACTTGAAGGCAACATTCCCGGGCCCTTCACAAACTGCTCCTAGTTCCAATTATAGAGCAGGGTAATAAATAAACTTTCAGCAACTTGTTGACTCTCTATCTCTCTCTAACCATTTCCAACTGCAATTTCCCATCTCAAAGTTACTTCTCTTTATCAACTACCAATATTTTTATATGGATTGACTACAAGATGCGGACAAGACAGGAAGTGTTTCCAGGTAGAGAAACACTGAAAGGAGTGGGAGAGAATTATATTGATTAGAGCTCAAACTTCCAAACAAATCACAAGAGACACTAGAAACAAACACAAAAGAAATAAATTGTTTCTTTTACACTGAAAATAAGTAACAACAAATTAGACAATTCTAAAAATTAGACAATTCTAAGAAATAGACATGTCATCTTAAAAACTGACTAACCTGCATCCAACCTTTCCACTCTTCAGTTTGATGCCTGTTCAGATACAGTATGGATTTTCCTAAGATTGGTGACTTATCATGATGAATCTTGAAAGAAGTAATTGCTGGAACTATGATGAGAAGGAAGTAGAGAAATAAGAAAAGATCCCGATTATAACTCTGCAAAAACAAATGATGGTTAAAAGACAAGCTCATTGGACACAACTTTGATGCAGGTGGACCAAATTATAATTGAAATAGATACAGAAAACAATAACTGTATATCCTGGCCATTGTGAATTTTATGTGGAGAGGTGAAGTCCTCCATAATTGTTTGGTTACACATCCAAGGAAGCAGAAGAGAGACTGAAGCATACGTATAGCAAAAACAACCAACATTCTCTATTCAACATACATATAGCAGTTACAGGTCAAATTATGTCCGTCCACAAAAGGCTCAGGTTGTGCAAAATAAGCTGTAAAAGTAGATTCTACCTCCAGTGTTGACCCACAATCCCCTCTTTTTGTTGATGGTAAAATCAACTGCAGTGACAAAACCAAGAAACAAGCACATCTGAGTTTCAAACTAAGGAAAAATAATTGTAACAAAGACTACATAAATACAATCATGCATAAAGTATTTGAATTCTAGTTGAGTAAGCTGAATAGCATTAATAGTTGACACCTATGAAACATGAACACTTTTAAGGTGTCATGTCATGTCGTGTCAAACACCAACACAACACTCATCGGGCAATTCTGAAAACCTGTTGGACACACATCAACCATATCCTGTTATTTAAAAAAAAAAATCTAAATTCAAATACACTTCAGAGACTTGGGAAATACAGGTGTCTATCGCTCAAACACATGAAACACATTACAAGTTTGAATAAAATAATTAGAATCCCATGACAAGAAAAACAATTTAAATCTATAAAGCACATCTGAGTTTCAGCCATTAAGAGAAAATACACTTGAAAATTGAAACATCCATCCTAGCCTGGTATAGTACACATTTCTAGTGGCAAAAGTGCTCCATTCAGCTTGCTCTTTGGCACAATATTTTCAGGAGAAAGTTCAAGCCAATACTTGAATGCAGTAAATATTAGGGAAGATATGGATAGCATTTGTGGATTGACCATGTAGAAACAAATAAATTTCAGAGTTTTACATGAAATAATAGTTCACCAAGAAAAAGGCAGTGAGGATGCTATATACCTCTAGAAGGGAATTTGGGTGACATAAGGCTATCGTTCATTAAAAGTTGCACAACCTTCTCCCCTATTTGTAAGCTAATCTGTCTCTGCAATGCCTTCTTCTGCAAATGCTGTTTAATCATGATGTTTAAAAAAAATCATATTTCAATTGAATACTATAACAAAATTAGAGACAAAGGATGCTGGCAGTATGTATAGCCAATTGATTATAAATCAATTGCTATGACACCACATTGTCAATCCAATTTAAAAGTTTTTGACTTTTAAATAAGGAGATCATATATAGAATGTATATGTATATATGCAAATACAAATGGAACTTACAGTTAACGGACCCTCAATCTTCAATTTTTCCACATCTTCATCAATGTTTTAGGTGTCTCTGAATTTCCCTTCTCAATGTTTATATCCACAAGGCATGGGGGATAAGCATTCGCATTTTCTATGTCTAGATTGACGTAGTTTTGGCCATTCAATTCAGCATCCAAGCACATCTGGCCATCAGTTGAGTTGGGGACTTTTGAGTGGCCTAAGAAAAGTAATTGTGATTCACATTGCAAATTACTGGTGCCGTCACTAAAATGCTATAGGCATCTTGGCCGTGCACAAATGAAAAAGTAAAATCCTCATTTTCAGTGTAATTTAATATTTCAGAGGATATCAAATGGGATGGGACAAGTAAACTGAAATCGCAACAATAAAGCAAGTTCAAGAAACTAGTCAACGAGAAAATAACAGAAGGATTTTCTTAAAATGATCCAAGCTTGTATTTAAAAGAATGTTTCACAACTTTTTTTCTCGGGCATAATGCATAGCAAACATCTTTGCAGTCAAGGTTCATTACGCGATTTTTTTTTTATATTATTTATTATTATCATTATTATTTTGAGAGAGGGAGAAACTAGAGTATCTCAAAATCCTAAATATCAAAATGTATAGAATGACCACACCTTCCATATAAATCACTTCAATAGCTAGATCAGAGACCTTTAATATGAAACATTTTAACACCCGTGTATATTACATTTGCCAGATATAATGGCACAAACATGAGCTTAATTTTCATCACGACAATCAGTTAATGATCACTTGATAAATGGAGTTTCACATCTGAATTAATATAAAAATTCATTCAAAGTTTTCATAACCAACAAAATTTCCTAGTGTATATGTAAAGTAAACTCACTAAAGTAGAAAAAAGGAGCGAAAAGGTTGCAAAATTACCAAAAGGTGAGAATTTCCTAGTGTATATGTAAAGTAAACTCACTAAAGTAGAAAAAAGGGGCGAAAAGGTTGCAAAATTACCAAAAGGTGAGAATTTCCTAGTGTATATGTAAAGTAAACTCACTAAAGTAGAAAAAAGGAGCGAAAAGGTTGCAAAATTACCAAAAGGTGAGAATTTCCTAGTGTATATGTAAAGTAAACTCACTAAAGTAGAAAAAAGGAGCGAAAAGGTTGCAAAATTACCAAAAGGTGAGAATTTCCTAGTGTATATGTAAAGTAAACTCACTAAAGTAGAAAAAAGGAGCGAAAAGGTTGCAAAATTACCAAAAGGTGAGAATTTCCTAGTGTATATGTAAAGTAAACTCACTAAAGTAGAAAAAAGGGGCGAAAAGGTTGCAAAATTACCAAAAGGTGAGAATTTCCTAGTGTATATGTAAAGTAAACTCACTAAAGTAGAAAAAAGGAGCGAAAAGGTTGCAAAATTACCAAAAGGTGAGAATTTCCTAGTGTATATGTAAAGTAAACTCACTAAAGTAGAAAAAAGGAGCGAAAAGGTTGCAAAATTACCAAAAGGTGAGAATTTCCTAGTGTATATGTAAAGTAAACTCACTAAAGTAGAAAAAAGGAGCGAAAAGGTTGCAAAATTACCAAAAGGTGAGAATTTCCTAGTGTATATGTAAAGTAAACTCACTAAAGTAGAAAAAAGGGGCGAAAAGGTTGCAAAATTACCAAAAGGTGAGAATTTCCTAGTGTATATGTAAAGTAAACTCACTAAAGTAGAAAAAAGGAGCGAAAAGGTTGCAAAATTACCAAAAGGTGAGAATTTCCTAGTGTATATGTAAAGTAAACTCACTAAAGTAGAAAAAAGGAGCGAAAAGGTTGCAAAATTACCAAAAGGTGAGAATTTCCTAGTGTATATGTAAAGTAAACTCACTAAAGTAGAAAAAAGGAGCGAAAAGGTTGCAAAATTACCAAAAGGTGAGAATTTCCTAGTGTATATGTAAAGTAAACTCACTAAAGTAGAAAAAAGGGGCGAAAAGGTTGCAAAATTACCAAAAGGTGAGAAATTTATGGGAGAGCAACTCTTGCTCTATTTTTTTACACAAAATGTGAGAAACTTGTAAATATTTTTAATCAAACAGGGTGAATTGTAATTTCTCCCTGTTTTTCTCAAGATCGCTAATTATATATCACCAATTATATGTCAAAATATTTCTTCTCATTCACTAATTTATTAATTATTACGTTCAAATAAAGAACTAATTATGAGCATTCAAGTGAGTGGAGATGCTCAAAATATATATTGATAACTAAAAACTGGTTTTATTTATTTATTTCAAGTTAAGCAACGTTTTCATCGTACTCCTCTTGAGTACCCATGAGAAAGAAGGTCCAACATGAAAGAGGAAGGAAAACTTCAAACAAAGCATTAACAAACAGATTAATTAATGGCAAACACCCAAATACTCTTATACATTGTCACTCTGAGGTCATGAGACCATCTATAGTATGAGCTATCTAATCCGTGACAAAATTACTAAGAACATATCAGTTTCCCAAGCTGTCTTGCAAATCAATTACCACCTCTTCTCAAAAGTAATGAAATACAAACAAATCTACAAAATCTTAAACCACGCCACTTATTTATATAATTCATGCTAAGGTTCAATAATCTGAAACAAAATTGACTACCAAAGAATTAATTGATTTGAAAAATGTACTTAAGATGAAGAGCCTAATATCATAAATCAAGAGCACATAAGTTCTATTTTTCATAGTCATCAATCTAACAAGCATGAGCACCACACATCGAAATGACACCAAGCATAAGTGAGAAAGACATATGTTCCAGATAAACAAGGAAAAGAAAGCTGACTGTAACAGTTGTCATCTAACTTTAAGAAAAAAAATACTTAACACCTAAAATTTCAAAATCATGTTATACAATAAAGATTCTTCTCCACAAAACAACAATGGAAAATTATCCTTCACATTGATGACAAATGAACATGTTCAGCATATTCAAGAAAATATCTAACGATATGGATATTGATGGTATAGGTAACTGACAAAACCAGACTAGGGTTCTACTCACCTTTTCTTGCTGGAGACCGTTCGTCGGAATTTGCTGGGGCGAGAAAGTGAGAGAAAATGAGAGAGGAACTGTGGGAAAATTAAGGAAAACAAGAGAGCCAACAAATTAACTAAATGGAATCAAGAAAAGCCTAAAGCTCATCTTACTCTTAGACCAATAAATAGAGCTGATGAGGTTGTTAAAGTTAAAGTTGCTAGAACACCATACTGGAATTGGAATTGGAAAGTAATTTCACAGCTTAATAGAAGTTAACAACTATCATAAAACCATAAATGTAATTACACAGCTTCGTATTCACAAAATAAACTACTCTCATTCTCCAAATAACTTCAATAATACAATTTAGGTGAATCTGTGAAATCGGTGAATCTCGCTACCTCGCCGGTGCAGATGGTGGTGGCAGTGGAGCTTCAAAATCGGTGAATCTATGAGATTTGAAGGTGAGATTCAAAATAAGGGTTTAGAGAGGGTTGAGAGAGGCGACGTGAGGATCCAATGTTGGTTTATGTCTAAAGGCCTAAGGGCTTACAAAGGCTTTATTCTCAGATTCAAAATAGGCGCGTGTGGCCTACCGCATTTGGAGGCATTTTTAAACGCCTTCAATCACAAAACTGTGTCGTTTTAATTTAAAAA